CTTAAATAGTACCATATATTACTAGGATCTAATAAGCATATAACCTGGAATTGTCTGCTGTCTCCTAATGAAGCTTGACTGTAAAAGGTGAAATTGCGCACACACACACACACACACACAAAGATCACTTAAGAGACATAGTATTTCCATCCATTCTATGTGTGCAAAATTTTATCCTTGCATCAAGGTGGATCATCACAAAACTAGGTCTGAACTACATTAGCTTAGTCCATTACAGAACTTCATTCACTTTCTTTCCTTTTTTTTGAGACGGAGTCTTGCTCTGTTGCCCTGGCTGGATTGCAGCAGTGCAATCTCGGCTAACTGCAACCTCCATCTCCCAGATTCAAGCGATTCTCATGCCTCAGCCTCCTGAGTAGCTGGGATTACAGGTGTGTGCCACCACACCCGGCTAATTTTCGTATTTTTAGTAGAGATGGGGTTTCATCATGTTGGCCAGGCTGGTCTTGAACTCCTGACCTCAGGTGATCTACCCACCTCAGCCTCCCAAAGTGCTGGGATTAAAAGTGTGAGCCACTGTGCCCAGCCACTTCGTTCACTTTCTAACAGTTAACGTTCTGCATGCTTAGCTTTGATTGCTTAAAAAAACTTCGCTACGTAAAATATACTAATGCATTTGTTATAAAATTACTAAAAGCATTGTCCATTATATAATGCAACTTCCTACACTGTCTACAGAAGCCAAATATGTATCATAAATGAGTGAAGCAGACTAAAAAAATCCACTGCCAGATATGTAATTAAACTTTATCACTGAGTGATGGTATAAGCACATTAACACATAGTATGAACAGGAAAGAAAAGAGAAGCTATATTTTAAATTTGAAATCTAAAAATATAAATAATTTATCAAATTTTCATTTCAAATTGACTACTTTGTTGACTTATAAATAGAAACCTAAAATTCTTTCTTCTATACCAACATATCAATGTCCACATGGGCTGATAGGGAGAAGTAGATACTTAAGTGGAAATTTGTGTACTGTATCAAGAAGAGAGTGGAATGAATAAAATGATGGATGGCCAAAAGCAGCAAATGTCTACTACATACTGATATTCTAAAGTTGTCTAATTAGGATTCAGTACCACACTACACTGCAGTTCGATTTCTTCAATTCGTAGTTCTTTATTGACATTAGTAAAATTAATTGAAAAAGACAAAATTCATTCATTACCACAACGTTGGAAATCAGAAAACTTAGAATTCACTCTAAACCTACAATCGTGAATATGTAGTTTAAGTAATCACTTCCATCTCTGAACACCAATTTCAGCACAGAAAAGTAAGCCATATTATTCCTGTCAAAAGCGTTTCCCATAAATGACTTCACTAAGAACACGTGAATTAAATTTTACATTTGTGTAACTACTTATGTGCACTTTTGCAAAGAAAGATTCAGAGTGTTTATATGAATTGTCTTATTCACCAAAAAGGTCAATCATTGAGATGAGTCAGGGATTTTCCCTTGGGTGACATGAACAAGTTGAATTCTTTCAACAGTTCAAAAAATATCTCTTCAGCACCTGACTTAAATGTTGCACTACATCCCCAAAATTCCTCTTCAGAACTGAAGTGTTTATTCCCCAGTTGCTCTTTGGGAATTCACTAGGCTGAAAAAAGCTACCACACCCAAGGTTATGCTCCTTTCCCAGGATAACTAGAATACAGAGACTAGTCAACATCGGGATACAAGGACCAGCCTTGTGACCTTAGCTGAGGACAATTCTGAGGGACCATCTCAGCTTCAGAGCTCCCAATAAGCAAGGCTGAGGCCTTCTGACCATACCTAGGCCAACTTCTCCCATTAGTCCAGTTGCATCCCCTTCCCCTCACAGGTGCTGATCCGGGAAGAACCCTTTAATAAATTATCTTCATGTTAACCTCCACCTCAAAATTTGCTTCCAGGGCAACCCAACCTGTGACACACACCACATACAACTGAGCCCCCTTATCTACAAGAAGCAGAAGCAGCTACTATATTGTGCATCCAATTCATCCAAAAAAAAAGCAATAATCTCTGTTGAAGCCACAGAAGACTATCTGGTATACATGTATTATTACTATATACACGTTTCATTCTTTAGCTTTTTAGGACAGTGTTTCCTGGTGAATTATACAATTAATACATTGAAGTTTTGTATCATTAAAAACACTGCCACCTTGGATTTAAGTTTCATATCAAGTCTTATGTTAACATGAATCATTGCATGATTCTGTAGTCATACTTATTTTGACTAGCCTAACATTAAACTTAAGACACAGGCGCTATGTTCAAAAGTTCTATCATATCAAAGTTCTCTTTGATGCCACAAATAAATATACTTCACTGGGCATTATTATTTATGTCTATGCAACAGAAAACACCAAAAATAAATTACTCTCTTCAAGTAACTTCTCCAATAAATTCTCAGCCATACCTTCAATGTGCCAAACAACAGCATTTCTGGTTAGAGTCGGATTTGCAACTTAAGAATACATTGTGTGACTCATTAAGTAGACACTTTTTTGCAAACTTGTCCTCTGTAAAAGAGCTATTGCCTGGGTAATCTTTTCCCTTAATATATAACTACATAACTGCATTTTACAACAGGGTTACTTGTTTCATTCATTTTCCAAAATAAACCCAGTTGAAATTTCAGTCCTTTTCTTGAATTGATTGTTTTTCATTACACAGATTTTCTATGTAGTGATTGTAGTTTCTACTATATTTTGTTTCATAATGGACTCTTGGATTGTAATCATTGATGTAAACACACATTGCATATTAAACACACAATAATTTATTACTTCTATCAGAAAGGAATTTATTCTTTCCATTTTCTTACAACATCTTCTCAGCCTAGCTTTCGTTCTACTTTGGATAGAGATGTGGGTGCCGTATTTTATTTTCCTCTTAGATCTGCTATAGTAACAACACACACAAAAAGATAAGCGGCAACTTGATGTACAAGATATAGGAAAAAGTAAGGAATTCTGGGGACTATGACAAACTGGAGAACACATGCCCTATGGATAAAGGTGGCAACTGCTACTCAGCTCCAACCGATTGTTGCTTAATGGAAATACTGGCCAATTGTTTCCAGATTTTTCAACTTTTTCGAGAGAAATCAAAAAACCACATTTTTGTGTGAAATTTCCTGAATGTTAAATGTTGGCCACTAATTCAACTATATGTAACACATCTCTGGCCATATCCAGCCCATAGACCACTAGTCTGTAAACTTTTTCTTGTGACTAATTGCTTTAGAACGTAGTATTGAAGGGGAAGTTTTTCAGTCTTTAGGTATTCCTTCCACTACAGTAGTAAAAAGTGTGAGCTCTGTAAATATATTTAAATTCCAGATCTGCTCCTTCCTGGCTATGCAACTGTGGGCAAATTACTTTTTCTATCTAACCCACATTTTTCTCACCTGCAAAATGGGGTTACTCAAACAAATTGCCTTAGAGTATTTCATAATTTATAATGTAAAGAATTTAGAATAGTGCCTAGTACAAAGCAAGTATCAGTAAATATTAGCTTTTGTTATTTAATAATGAAAATTGTATAAAATATCATATTGCCCCTTTTCCCTGGCTGCAAGAAAGCTTACAGTTAAATTTAATGCTCTACCACAGCAACTGTATTAGCCATTGTGTTTGGCATGTTTGCTTCCTCCTTTTCAGGGTTTTGATATTCTATTTCAATTTTCAAAGCTTTATTATACACTAGAATATAAGAAGCTTCAAATTCTCTTTGGAAGAAGAAAGGGTATAAACAACCAAAACTTTAAAAAATAAAAATTAAGTTCCATGAAATTTTTGTGAACAAGATGAAGGTAATTAGGCCATCTGGCTATATAATTGGGTGGATTTATAACAGGTTCGATGATTGTACCCTAAAAAGCATCAATTAATCGATTGATGTTAACTTGGAGATTAATCTAGGCTGCCACAAAGGTTCTGGCCTCAGTTTTGCCCTGTTTATCAAATTATCTGGAATTAGAAAACTATGGCCTACAATCCATCTACTTGTTTTTATGAATAAACTTTTACTGGAATAAAGCCACACACATTTGTTTATGATTAGTCTTTGGCTGCTTTTCCACTACAACAGCAGAGTTGACTAGTTGTGACAGAGACTGTGTGGCCCACAAGCCCAAAATGTATACTTATATCTCACCCTGTAAGAAAAAGTTGGCAGACCCCTGAATTAGAGGAAGACAGGTGACAATACCAAATTTAAAGATGACACAGACTGGGAGGAATAGTTAATACATTGCATGATAGAATTGAAATTCACAAAGATTAGAACAACTGAAAAAAACCGACTGTAACATCAGGCTGAAATTTAATAGTTTATAAAGTATGGTAAATGGGTACTTAACCATAATAGAGGATATCAGGCATTAAGAGCAATTGATATTGTAAAGATACAGTTTCATAAGTCCAGGAAACCATGTGATGTAGCTAACAGAAAAGAGCTAATTTAAATGTTGTATGCATTAAAAGAAATATAAAGTCTAAAACAGCACTGACCAATAAAACTTCCCTGTGATAATGGAAATTTTTTTAACCTGTAATGTCCAACAAGGTAGCCTATTAGCTACATGCGGCTATTGGGATTTGATACATGGCTAGTGTGAAGGAGGGACTAAATTTTTTAAAAAATTTTTGAGACAGTCCTGCTTTGTTGCCCATGCTGCAATGCAGTGGCACTATCATAGTTCATTCTAACCTTGAACTGCTGGGCTCAAGTGATCCTCCCACCTGAGCCTCCTGAGTAGCTATGACTACAGGCATATGCCACCATACAAGCTAATTTTTTACAAAACATTTTGTAGACATGGGGTCTCACTACATTGCTCAGGTTGGTATCAAGCTCCTGGGATCAAGGGATCCTCCCGCCTCAGCCTCTTAAAATGCTGGGATTCTAGCTGTGAGCCACTGGTGCCTAGCCAAAAACTGTCAGTCTTTAGAGAAAGAGAAATCAATTCTGTACCTTTCATGATCCATCAGCAGTTTAGCAATATTCAGACAGAAGTCTAAGGGCATGTCAAGATGCAGTATTTCCATGACAGCTAACAAGATGAAAAAATGAAATAATTATTATCAGTTTCGTTTTTGAGGAAGCTTAGCTATTTTCAATAATTTTCCCCTATTCAAAATCGACTTAATAAATGTTTGCCAAATACCATGTTTTCCCTAACAATTTATCAAAATCTTCTTTTAAAGTATTAACATCCAGTGCTGGAGAGTGTCATGACACAGGCACTCTTGCACAGATAGCAAAGTAATCTGCTGCAATCCTTTTAAAAAGCAACTTGGCAATACTACATGCTAAGAACACTGGAGTAGAGAGCTTGGTATCTGAAGTCAGACAGGTCTAAATTTGAAACCACTTGCCACTTGTATGGCCATAGGCAAGTTAAGCTCTCTATACCTTAGTTTTGTCACCTGTAAAACAGAGAATATACCACCAATTTCTCAGGGTTGTAGAGAGGATTACATGAGATAATGTATGGAAATTATATAGCAAAGGACCTAGCATTTAATAAATGGCAGCTGCTATTATTACTATTCCCTTCAAGAAATTGTGCTTCTGAAAAGTCACCTGGAATAAATATGGGGAAAATTTATGAACAAAAATATTAAAAGCAGTGTGGATTATAATAATAATAGAAAAGAAACATATACTGTATGTCTATTATAGGAAACAAATAAACTATTGTGCCACCATTAAAACTGTTGAGTATGAAATAACATGGAAAAAATGAATATACACTAATATGAAAAATGTGTAAGATTAGTAAGTGAAAAACTAGAGCAAAGTTTTATGTACTATATAATCACAATTCCATAATACAAGCAAAGTAAACTAAGATAGAAAGTATACTGAAAATAAGCGATCAATTTTCTAAAAGTGATTGTGTTTTGATTCTATTTATTTGACAAATATTTAATGAGCATAAGCTCTGTGCCAGGCACTGTGCTTCGTGCTGAGAACCCAGCAGTGGATAAAACAAAACAAAAATTCCTGCTGTCAAGGAGCTTCTAGTGGATGGTAGGACTATGAATATTTTTAATATTTTCCAAAAATGTCTTAAATTATTATGTGCTATCCTTTAATAATGAAAAATGTTTATTTTTAAATTTCAATCGTTCTATTACAAAAAATATCAGTGCAATAATGCGAGCAGTTAGATTGAGTTGACTTTTTTTTTTTTTTT